CGCACAGACACACCCCCTCTTTCTCTACCCCCACCAGCCTCCTGCCCTTCTTTCTGCGTAATGAACCACATATGCAGAAGCTAACGAGCAGGCTTGCAAGGCAAACCTGCCTCCTCCTGCTGAGAGCGTTTGCACGGAGCTCTTTCTAACCCAACGCAAACATGGCCTCAGCATTTCCCTCCAAAAGAGCTGCGAAAAACCCAGGAATAAATGACACAAAACATTCCAGAGGTGAGGCACTCTTCCAGCCGGCAGTCACTGCTGTTCCCAGAGAGCAGCCGTGCCGGAGCCCGTGGGGCCTGCGCCTGCCCCCGGCCCGGCGTGCAGCTCTGAGAGCGTCCTGCGAGGGCACCCGCTCCGAGGTGGCAGCACCCTGCAGCAAGCAGGTCGGTGGGGAGCCAGAGCTGGGGGGTCTCAGCTCCGTCCCTGAAGGGTTTGCTGCACAGCTCCCATCCCCGAAAGCAGCAGAACGCGCTGCGTACTTTGGTTCTCCACCACGGCAAAGGGATAAGGGCCAACCGTCCTTCTGCAGACGTGGGGAGCGGCTGCTGTGAGCTCACGGGTGCTTGGGACAGATTTGGACACTGTGGTGGTGGAGCCGGATGGAGAGCACACACAATAGCGGCAGCACGGGGTTCGCTTTTGTAAGCAGCAGAGACGCAAGCAAAGCCAGTAACGCTGTTTGCAATTAAAATTGCCCGACCCTTTCAATTACAACTCCTTGTCACCGGACTCCGGTAAGCTTCAAAGTCCTTGGCTGAAGTTTCTTGGCTTCAGGCAAGTTTTTCCCCCTCGTCACCAACAGCCTCACTAGAAATGACTTGGCTACTCGGGCCAACGAGACAGAGCAGAGGTGAGGAAGGCGTACGCAAGTGCACGCAACGCGTGGAAAAGCAGGAGGTGAACTAACCCGAGTTCCTGTGTTCTGCTGAGAACTTTTAGCTTCTTTGCATAGGGCCTCCCCCCTCCATAAGCTTCCCAAATTCTGGCATGGTGGGAGCAGGGGTGAGGTGGAAACTTAGGCGTGTGCAGGACCTGCACGTCCGCCCTAGATGGGCCTGTCTCTTCTTGCAGGGAGGACGCCTGCTCCAGCCCCAGCTGCGGCACAGGGGATCCCAGCAGGGAGCTCACACCACCTCGCGTGGCCCAGGAGCACCTGGTTGAGGCCCCAGGAGCCCCCAACAGTGGCGTCGCCACCTTTTGAGAACTGGCGTATTCGCAGTTCTTGTGAACGCGCGAGGTGCTCACAGGCAGGGACTCTCATGCTTGTTCAAAGAGCATCAGGTGGCTCTTCTCCCAGTGCTTCCCACAGGTGTTAGAGCAATCGCATGAGTTTTGCACATCAGTTCTCTCTGCTCTATAGGCCAGAGGACACCGAGCAAAGCCCGCTGCAATCCTGGCGTGAATGGGCAATCTATAAGCATGGAGGAATACTGCACGCGTGGCACCGCCACCTGATTCACTCGCTGCAAACACCGCTGGAGAGGGTCGCAGCTCAAAGGCCTTCGGCTTCTTCAGCGTAAAGGCAATGACAACCATGAAAACTGCTGGCAATAACTCCCCTGGAGAGGATTAAGCTGAGCTGATTTCAGAAATGAAGATGTTTTATGGTCACCTAACAGCTGAGCAGCGGAGAAAACCACGCCAAAGAAAGCCAGGATTGGCAGGTCTACCGATTAGAAACAACAAGAAACTACAGGGGCGGGATGGCAGCACTGGGGAGCTTCGGGCTGGAAGGGGAAAAGGGCTGCCTAAAGAAAGGCCTTGAAAAGAAAAAAGAAAGCACCCAGCAGAAAGCATTTCCCAGATCTGTCAGGACACTTTCGTTGAGGCAACCTGACACTATTCTCCCCGGCAAGTTTTCAATTATATAACGGCTAACGGAAAATCCTGTAATAATTATGTCAGCGTTGTACTGTTATGGAAAATATTGTAATGAGATTAGCTATGCATTGCATTCCTCTGGAAAAGAGCCTAACGACGCGCGCACGCTGCCCTCCTGCCTCTCCTGCTCTTGAGGAAGCCTGCAGGGCTCAGGAGCCTTCACGCTGTCTGAAATGCTGATGAGTTTCGGGTAAGCGCTATGGGTTCCTCCCACCTTAAGCATGGACTGCGGGGAATTAAAATAAGGCCATAGTCACCCTTCTGTGGTCGATAGAGAGGGACAGGCTCCTTGGGTCTCCGTTACCTGCTGGACTTTGCTTCTCAACCCTTGCAGCAGCTTTGTCCGCTCAACTCCAGCCTTCCCTGAATCCTGCCCCACAGCTGTCCCCTGGCTCTCCATGCTGGGATGGTTCTTTCACATCTCTTTTTCTTCTTCCTCTTTTAAAATTTGCCTCCTGCCTGCTGTCACCAAAGGGATGGAAGCCCTCAAACAAGCCCTCGGTTCTCCTCACTTTTCCGTACGGCTCTTTGGTGTCCCCAGCCCCTCACTCCTCTCTAAACACTCAGTCCCTCAAGCCCCTGCTCATGGAGGAGGCTCTCTAGGCGTCTCATCATTTTCAGGTTCATAATCTCCATCAGTAATTTTTCCAGGAGATATTTATGGCTCGTTCCTTGTTGATTTCCATGTCCCACTGAATATTGCATGTGCTAGTGTTCCCTGAGGACCAATAGTCTGAAGAAAGCTGATTCTTTGCGGGCTTTTCTAGAGCTGCTAAATTGCACCTCTTCTCTTCTCTGGTGTTATTACATCTGTGCATTTACCACTGATTATATTTGCAGGCAGACCGGAGTGTGATTATTAGCTGAAACCTGTCAAGGAGTTAATCTCAGTTCTAAGTGCATCTCTGGGGGTTGCAATTAGAAAAACAAAAGCAGCATCTTTCCTTCTTACTGTGGCACATGTTGGAGGCCCAGCAGAGCTCAGTGGTCGCAGCTCAGAGATGATCCATTCCAGGAGACATCTGACCCACGGGAACCATTTGCTCCTGCTCCCATGTAAGGGCAGTCGTCTGGAGATTGAGACCCAGGCATGGATAGCTGGGCCTAGGAGATACAACCAAATTAGGACTAGGTGCCAAAACCAGAGAAGAAATGGAGAACAGGAGACAATGTACAATGAGGTGAGGGCAGGGACAGAGGCAGGGACTGCAGGGCAGGTAGGGTCAGGTTCCTGGGAAGGTCACTGAGCAAGGGAGGGGATTCCCTAGCAAGCCTACCAGATGCGGTTGCCACCCGGTCAGCTCCCAGGGCAAACCTTAGTCTCCTTGGCCCATGCAGGAGCTTGAAGGCCTAGGTTTGAAGGTCTGCTTGGCTGTGGCATAATTTGCATTGTGAGGGGGCCATGGCTGAGATCTTTATCATTAATTCATGTAGATCCAGAATTCCACTCCAGCAGTGAGGAAGAAGGGACTCAGGAACTAATTACATAGCAGCTGAAGAGCAGCTCCAGCAACCCGGGCCTCAGCTCTAGCCCTGAGCAAGTAAGTACAAAGATCTGGATCGCAGATGGACAAATTTCCTGGACTGAAACATGCTTTAAGGGAGCTAATGAGAGTAGCAATTTCTAGGAAGAAATGATCCAGTACTGAGAGGGAACTCCAGCTGTCAGAGTGTTCCTTTCCTCAATGCGCTGTTGTCTTTCTAGAGATAATTTGAAATTTGTAGTGATTTTCTGGATAAGAAATAAATGAAGAGACTTACAGACGCTGCACTTCTACCAAGGCAATGGTGCAAGCTCTTTTGGTGTCTGAATGGTATAAAAGGGGTTCCCCTCTCACCCTTGAACAGTCCAGGGTAAAGGGACCATCTGCTTAGCAAAAATCTTTGACACCACATTAAATAGAAAAATTGGATCAGGTCTCCAAACGACCGTATCTAGATGAAAAACAGGGAAGGGAGGAGGTGCCGTTTGGGAGAGCAATCCGCTAACCCTGCTAACAGATGTTAGAGCAATTACACATGCAGCTCTAACAGGCATGAAAATAATTAGCACTGCCAAGGGCTCACGCGGTGGCTTTGTGAGTTCTGCTGAAC